CCAGGTCCTGCTGCCCTTCAACCCCAAATAATCACACAGAGACATATTCATTATTAAACTGTTGGTCGATTGCTAGTGTTTTTTATTGGCTAGCTCTCTCTTAATTATTAACCCATAACTCCTAATCCATGTATTTCTACATGGCTTTATCTTACCAGAGAACACCTGGCATGTCCTATCTTCCCAGTCTCTACATAGTGTCTCCTTTGCTGCCTCTCTCTGCCTCCCTCCCCCCAGCCTTCTCCTGGTCTGGTAGCTCCGCTTATCCTTCCTGCCTGGCTACTAGCCAAACAGTATTTTATTCATTAACCAATAAGAGAAATATATATACAGAAGGATAGCCACCATCATCCTGTGGTTTTTGTTGTCGTTTATTTATAACCTAATATAAGAAATTAACCTTGAAAGAGACTAATTATTGTTAAAATGTTGTAATTAATTTGCTGCAATAAGTAAAGCTCCTCATAGTTCCTAGTTGGATATGTGTCACATAGTGCTTGAAATGGTATTTAAGCCTAGAATCTGTACAGTTTACAAAGGAAATTAAAAGTAAAAATCAGGTACCAACAGCATGTCTTTTCATAGTCTGGTGCATGGAAGGTACCCGATACATGTTCTTTCTAATATGATTCATTTATATTTCTGGGAATTGAACCCAGGCCTATGTACCAAATAGGGTATGTCCGGCCATCTGCATCCCTGAAGCCCAAGTTCAGCTGTTCTAAAAGATGAGTATGGCTTCTTGTGGTTCCCCCAGGTCTCCTCACTGCTACTTTGCTATTCTTTTAAAATTATGTCTTGCTCTGTTTAAAAAACCCTTAAGTGTCTTTGATCTCACCATTCTATAAAAGTGCTCTTGTCAGATTGAATAGTTTTCTGTATTCCTGAATCAATGGAGTTCTTAGCTCTTATCTTTATCTCTGGGAGCATCTGCGAGCACCAGCCTCTCCTTGATAGACTTCTTTCACTTACCTCCTTGGATATCTCCAACCTCCATCTTCATCCAAATGTATACTAAGCTGTTGTTCGTTTTTCCTCTTCTCCTGTTGCCACCTGGATGCTGCAGTGATGCTAGTCTTTATGTATAGCCCTGTAGCTACATGTTTTCCCTGGTTATCAGCTTCAGAATCATAGATTTTAATATCATTTCTCTCTTACTTCAGTCTTGCAAATCAGGACCACCTATGTGTAATGTGTGTAAAACCCAGCTCCTGACCAAATCTGCTTGGGATTCTTTTTCCCTGACTTTAACTTGCTAGCAAACAGCATTGTCTTTTCAACTGACAAGACCAACGTTCTTCATTAAATCTATTTCTGTTTTTCTTTATTTTCTGAATTCATTAAGAAGATGTCAATGTTACTGGGTAAAAGATTGAAAGTTTGCACCCAGCAGTACTGCTCACACTTCTCAGGCCTGGATTATTGCATTTACTTTCTGTTGTCAAATTAGCAGCCAGAGTAGAACTCTTCAATTATAAGTGACATGTGAAACATGTTACTGTCTCATGAAAAATGTCCCATTTCCTAAAGTAAAAATAATTTCTCTATGGGAATGTGACTGTCTGATTACCTCTTAACTCACTGGCTTTCTCTCTTATTCCTCTTCCTCTGGCCTGCATCCTACCTATTCTAGGCCATTGCTGTTTTGACACCCAGCACACTCCCTTCCTTCCCAGCCTTTACTAAGGTGCCACTTTGGAATGAGATCCACCTGACATGGACTTAAGTTACACCTGAACTTCATAGTCCAGTTTTTCAACCCTTTGGCCCATTTCCTGCCCCGCTCTCCTATTATGAACAGCACCGAACATGCGTGTAATTGTTAGTTGTTTCACTGTTTTTCCAACCATTTTCAGAAAGCAAATTCCATTGATGGAAACTGCTTAGTTTGTCTTGTTTTACCTGATATACAATCAAGTTAATCTGCATTGAACAAATGCATGAATGAGTGGCTTCCCAATGGTTATAGGTTGGCCCATATCTTTCACATGACCTTCAAGGCTCCATATGACCGAGTTCAGATCTGTCCTTTCCCCTCTTCAGGGTCTTATACCAGCTGTCTGAGCATTTTAAGGTTCATTTCAGCTGTCATACCCTTCCCCATGGACATCCTACCTCATCATAAGATGGAAAACCCACCTGTAGTCTGTTCCTATCTCCTGTACCACTACCCAGCTCCCAGTCAAACCCTGCTTATTGTCCCAAGCTCAGTTCCTGTGATATTTCTTCAGGACTACCTTTACTGATCATCTCCTTCCCCTCAAGGTAAATGCTCTCATTGAACTTTGACCTCTTCTTTTGTGAAACTATATTGTACATTCCAGGAGGGCATACATTATGATACTTTTATTAAATAAAGAAACTTCAAATCTTGTGCACAGCATGTGATCAATAATCTCAGTTTAATGATAAGGCTAATTCATACAGATGATTCTTTGAGATACAGATGGAAATTATTAGCCTAGCGTTAGGGATGGAAAAGAAATGAAGGATATGCTAAGACTGTGCTTGAAGTCTTGGAGTGAGTTCATCCTGAGCTTTCTGTGCAGTGAGGAGGAATGATTGTGGCCTCATCCCGTTTCTTGGATGATGCAATCCTTGTAAAATGTGTGTGAGGTATGCAATCTGTCATTTGAAGCAACTCTAAAAGCACTGCTTAAAACGAATGTTTTTTTTTTACAAGTTGAGTATGTCTTAAAGTATTTAAAAGAAAAAAGAAATGGGGGCTTTATCCCTTTAACAAGGAATTTCTATATATCTTATGTATTTCATAGCCATTTTTTAAACGAATGAGGCCTATATTCAATATTACTTAGAGTGATTTTAAATGCAATGCAGACATAAAGAGTTTAAATTTCCTAGGCCAGGGAAATATATACTACAATGGAGTTTATTTAGCATTACTGCCATATGGAATCAGCTTGTCAAATGTTATTAAAACACTCTTATCTTTGTCATATCATCACCCTGTGGTATCATGCACTGAAAGCCTTTGGAAAGTAGGGCCTCGGTGTGTGAAAATGTTGAATGACAGGTTATTTTGTTTGCTTAGTTGAGAAAAGAGATCTTTCATTTCTAAAAATGGTCTTTACATGCCGTTCTTTGTGCTTGAAGGAAATAATACTGATTCAGGGAGATCTGTGGCATAGAATAGGGACCTTGTAAAGGGCTGATTCCACTTGATCTGGTGTTTTCCACGCTCTGCTTACAGCTGGGCCCCTGTGGAAATTACAGTACTCTCAGACCAGAGAGGATGACTGACAGTGGTTTATTTGAGATGGCCTCATTTTGCTATTTCACTTTGCTCTTGTGGGTCAGAACTCTAGTAGTCACACTGGATCTCTCTATAAATGTGGTAGAACACATTCCTAGAGAATTTTCTAGGGTAGAACCTTCAGTCTCCTATTTCTGTTTTCTGTAACTTAGGATTTCTCTCTGAACACATATGTAAGCTTGAATATTTAAAAGAGGTTATCATTGTATCTTTGATGAAAACGTTCATCCTTGTATATTTGATGAAAAGCATTAATATACATTTTTGGCCAATTATGCTTGTTTATAGAAAAGTTTGGTATAAAACATAGAAGTAGCTTTATTCTCAGGAATTGTGTAAAACAGCTTACTATAGGAATCACAAACCAGAAGTCTTTGTATAAAATGATCAAAAGTTATTGTGGGATTAAAGTATTTAAGTTTATTACAAGCATAAATAAGACATATCACCTTAAATCAGTTGCTTTCCTTGGAGTCCTATGTCTGTGTATATGGGTGTGTGCTGTATTTTGTGTGTGTGTGTGTGTGTGTGTGTGTGCATGCACATATGTGTCTGTCCAGCATTGTACACACCAAGAAAGCACTAAAGCCATACTTAGGTGGGCTCTGAACTGGCAGATGAACCTTGATCTTCCTGCTTCTGCTTCCTAAGTGCTGGATTGTAGGGAAGCACCATCAAACCTTGGCTCTTCCTTAAAGGCTTTTTTTTTCTGTTTCTTTTGGATTTATAGAAGGTCATAGACAAAGTATGACATCTTTGTTTCATGCACAACACAGACAAATATTTCTAACCTGCATATTTTTTGGAGGTATGATCCTTGTGATTTTTTGTTGCCATTTTTTTTTCATCAAGGATTGAACCTAGAATCTTCTATATGGCTTGCCTGCCAAATTCTTCTACAATCCATTGCTAAGACATCTGTTGAAAGCATCATCAATTGAGAGATCAATCAAAAGTTCAAAACCTTAGGGGGAATGACTTAAATGACTGAATGTAGGGAAAGTATAAAAATCAACTAACTTTATTTAAGCAGTTATAGACTACAGCTATCGAAAGTGCCATGTGGGTTTTTTTTTCTCAAAATTTCTTATCCATATGAAACTAGTGACAAGAAATAAAAGCTATCATTTCTTAGTGAGAAATAATTAAGAGCATGTTAGCAAAAGGGATTATAAGTGAAACCGTGTTCCTCCATCCAGCTAAGTGTGGACACTGTTAAGATTGTATGACCAAGATCTGCTTCGTTGAGCCTTCACTTGTAGTTGCCATAATTACAATTGCTTTTCTTGAGCTGCTCTTCTTTACTGAGTTGTTTAGTAAGAGTATAAAACCTGTCAGAGAATAAAAATAGTTGCCACATGTTTTTATGACCACACTGATGGGAATCCATAGTTCAGTTTTATATGTGTGTGTGGAATGCGGTGCCATGCTCACATTCTCTAATGGCATAACAGAGTGAATAAAAATCTTTTGTTTTTGATTTTCATAAAAATATCACCATTGCCACAGATGGGACTTTAAAATGCAGCATTTGTTGAAGTTTGGTTCAGTTGTCATCAGTCTCACCTTTATATATCATATAAATCATGGTTATAAATCATGGACGGTGTTCCTGCTCCTGAAGTGCTGAACTATGCATCTTGCTGGGAGCACCGACTGTGTCTGTTTATGTGCACATATTAGGGGCCTGAACATTTCATTTCCTATTTTTTCTCTCTTGTTCTAGTTGGACTGATCCAGAGGTTTCTTGTACTTCAGATTTACATACCCCTGGGACAGGACTTCTCCACTGAATTACTGTAAGATATATAGAACTTCTTGTGAATGTTTTATGTGCTTTACACGTTAGATCAATTGAAGCAGTGTGTGGCAGGTTTTATTTTTGCATTAAACAGTAGTGACTTAACGGGTTGACATGAAGTAATTAAATAATTTAGTTTTGTTTCTTGGATATCCCTGCACTTGGGAATTTTTTTTTGGGAGAAAAAAAGCAGGTTTTATTTGTTTCAGAAGATGCTGTGGATTTTGATTTTACAGTTTTCCTGTTTCTTTGCAGAACTACAGTTGACTTAACATTAATTGAAAGACATTATATCACTATTTACTATAGTTTTGACATATTGGTTCCTTTTGTGTATGTAAACATAGCTTAGAGTGTGTTTATTTTCAATGGCCTTACAAAATTGTTTAGCAAAATTTAAAATAAATTATTTTTACTTAGTTGAGCTATGTGTTCCAAGATACCAGTAGTAACAAAGATAACATTTAATTTGTAGTTTCATACAAATTAAGTATTTTCTAAGATTTCATTGCTAAGTTTCCATATTGTAAACAAACCATTAAATGGTTTATTTTTGGTTTGGTTTGGTTTTTAATTAAAAGCCATGGTTCAGGCATAGGTATTTGCTTCAATCCTGGACAAAAGTGAGTTGCTATTAATAAAGATAGTTTTGATCCAGCTTTATCAGCATTCAGTACAAAGTAAAGGAAAGTATGTTTTTAGTAGATGATAGTTATTGATTTCTTTCTGTTTACATAAGCTGGGATATTAGTGGATTTTTTTTAGGTTGTCAGAGTCTGAATTTTAGCTTATAAGGTACAACTGTGTTTTCTTAAATAAAACAGAAATGGAACACCATACACTTTTGTTTTATTCATCCTAAAGCTCCTGTGAACTTATAAGATCTTTTATCATCTTCCATAGCCACCACCATTCTTAAAAATAGCTCTTAGAGAGAGGAGACCAAAGCATCATTTGATGCTCCTATGCACCACTTCCTGGTTTCTGTAGAAAAAAAGCGTTTTCAAGACTCCAAAGGCATCCTAAAGGTACAGAAAGTGGTCCTGAAAGCTTTATTTTCAGCACGGGAGAATGTGATTTCTGAATTGAAAGAAGGCAAATTATGTTTAAAGCTCTTTACATTAAAATCCAATTTTGCTCTCCTTTTTACCTGGATCTTGCCATGACCCACACTTTGAGCATCTTCAAAGCAGTGGTAAAGGTGTTCTTAGTCAACTTTGGATTAGAGGCTGTGAGAGCCATGACTGGACTTTAGAGGCTTGTGAGACCATTGAGATCACTTTTTTTCTTTATAAAATCAAGCTCTATTTGTGCCCCAACACTTGAACATATCACTCTAGCATACTTGATACACTGTCTCAATTAATTTAATGACAATTAAAACCTTAAATTTTGAGAAACTAACAGGTATACTTAACCTGAGAATCTGATACCTAAGTGAGCCAACTATTCTTTGCTACCATAATGCTAGTGCTCTTGGCCTGCTTAAGTATGGGAAACATTTTTGAGAGGTGTTGGCATTCATGATTAGATCATTGATTTCCATGTCCTCATGTTCCCATGAGAAATGAGTTGATTTTCTAGATGATTTTAGTTTTATAATTCTAGAAAAATGAATTCTTTTAGACAAAAATTATTAAATAACATGGGTGAGAAACTCCCTTGTCAGTTTATTGTATGTGACCTGTATTTGTTACTGATAGTCAAAATAGTTCTGCTTCCTACAGAAATGACAGACACCATGCTTTCAGCAAAAGGAAGATGGAATGATAGGTATAGATTTCCATTCTAACACATATTCCCCAGGCCTTAAAAGAAAGGACTTTCTTTCAGTACCCTTCTTGTTGTACTGTTCCTAGCAGCACAGCCCTAGGCTATTTTAAATAATACATTTCTCTAACAAGCTTAGAAAGTCACCTAGCAGAACCATATGTGGCTTTTAAATTTCTCAGTTGTCAGAGCAGGGAAAGGCATTTTGTTTCTCAAAGGTTTTTGCTGTACATCAAGAGGTTTTCATCAGTGGAGTCTTGCCTGCTCATTTAGGAGTTTAGCAGATATTTCCTCAGCTTCTTCCTATGTCTTTTATGCTTCCTAGATGATTTATTGTGCCCAGGAAGAGGTAATACATGTGGATTGGGGGTGCTGTAGAGCCAGCAGCTGTTCAGCTTGAGGACCTAATGTTGTCAGGCAGTATGCTGCCCCTTGGGGATTTGAAATACTTTGGAATCTGTGACACCATTTTTTCTACTTCCAAAACTTTGTTCCAGCTTTTCTCTGGATTTCCTAGCTTCCTCCTTGTCTTAGTTACAGCTTCTATTGCTGTGAAGAGATGCCATGACCATGGCAATATTTATAAAAGAAAACATTTGATTTGGACTTGCTTATAGTTTCAGAAGTTTAGCCCATTATCTTGATGGAATCATGCAGACAGACATGATTCTGGAAAAGGAGCTGAGAATTCTACATCTTGATTCACAGGCAATATCAAGTGAACTAAGTACCACACTGTTCATAGCTTGAGCATAGGAGACTTCAAAGCCCACCTCCAAAGTGACATACTTCTTCAACAAGGCCAAAACCTCTAATAGTGCCACTAGCAATGGGGGCCATTTTCTTTCAAACCACCACATTCTACTCCCTGACCTCCATAGGCTTGTAGCCATATCATAATGCAAAAATGCATTCAGTTCAACTTCAAAAGTCCCCACAGTCTATAACAGTCTCAAACTTACTTAAAAGTCTGAAGTTCAAAGTCTCTTATGAGAGACATGCTATCCCCCGTAGTATCAAAATCAAAAGGCAGATCACATACTTCAACATATAATGACTCAGGATATATATTGCCATTCCAAAACATAGGGAAGAGAACATAGCAAGGAAATACTGATCCAAAGCAAGAGCAAAACCGAGCTGGACAAACTCCAAACTCTGCATCTCCATGTCTGATGTTAAAGAGTTTTTCGTATCTCCAACTCCTTTCAGTTTTGTTTACTGCAGTACACTTCTTTCTTTTGGGTGAGTTCTAGTCTCTGTTATCAGCTCTCCTTGGCAGATATCCCATCACTGTAACATCTCCAACATCTTTGGGTCTCTAAGGCAATCCAAGGTTCACCTTCACAGCTCCACACACTGGCCTTTCTGTGCCTCCATTCATTGACACCCCTATGTCTGTCCTCAAAAGCCAGAACAATGTGGCCGAAGGTGCTAAATTCTGCTGCTTACTATGTCTGGAACATGGCCCCCTTATTCAATTACATCTTCTCCAGCTTTCTGCTTTCAGTGATTTCCTAAGCTTGGCTATCCTGAATCTTGATTTGCAGACTAGGCTAGCCTCAAACTCAGAGATCTACCTGCCTCTGCCTTCCCAGTGCTAGGATTAAAGGCATGCACCACCACACCTGGCTTTAAGCTTTTCTTTGATTCCTTTTCATGTGTTGGAAATTTAGTTGGTTTACCAACTTGTCTTTGTTACTTACAGTTTCTGTTCCTGTGAAGAGACTCCATTACTATTGCAACTTTTATAAAGGAAAAAATTTAATTTGGGCTGGCTTACAGTTTCAGAGATTTAGTACATTATTTTCATGGTGGTATGCATACTAACATGATGTGGGAGAAGAAGCTAAGACTTCTGCATCTTGATCCACAGGCAACAGGAAGCGAACTGAGTGTCACACTGTTCATAGCTTGAGCATAGGAGACCTCAAAATCCAGCTCCACAGTAACACACTTCTCCAAGAAAGCTACACCCCCTAATAGTGCCACTCCATACAGGGGCCATTTTCTTTCAAGCAACCACACTCCCTCAACAGTGCCCACACTGTGCTTATTGAGAGCTGTCTTTAAAAATAAACTGGAATTACTCCACAGGTGAAGTAAGGATAAACTCTGAAGTCGTTGATGTTGTATGTGTCATGATTTGTTCTTTTTTTCCTTCTGTGCATTGTAGCAAAACCTTTCTTGTCCCAGCTAGGCTACAGCACCATTTCAGCCACAAATGAACACACAGACACTATAGTATAAATCTGTTGGCTGGTGACTAGCATTTCTTATTGGCTAGCTCTGTCTTAATTAATTACCCATTTTCTATTAATCTATGTATTTCACATGGTCTTGGCTTACCGGGAAATGCCCGACCTGTAACTCCTCGCTGGCTATAAGATGACTGAATAGCATCTCCACAGAGAAGAGAGAGAATTCCTTTTTGTCCCTGCTTATAGCCTGATTCGTCCCAGCTATGTCACTTCCTGCCTGTCTGTACAGAACTCCAGACCTCTGTGAAATGTGGATGAGTGAGCAAGATGATAGTGGAGTAACAACTGGCACTCTAATCTCTGAATTGTACTCTGCATTGTAATCATGCATTGAACTCTGAGGCCAAAATATCCATTTACATTTCAACACATATTGTGGTCACACAAGAGCAATATTGATGGGCAATGTGAAGTATAAGGTAGATGAAAAGATGTGGATAGATCTGTAGTAAAATGATTTGAGACTTAGGGTAATTATATAATTAATGTCTCCTATGAGATGAGAATATTGACACCTCCTCACAGATTCATCATAGATGCTAAATGAGGAAATTAACATAAAGTAGTAGTCATTTTTACTTATTAAACATGATATATCTAGGAGTTTCAGTATCATTCTGGATACTTTATTTTAGTTTAATGAATACAAAGCATAGCTAATAGCTATGAAAGATCTAGGGAGTGGTTTGTGTTTTAGCCCTGTTAGCTCCTGAAGCCAGGGTTTAGGTGTTCAGTTTACACTGAGGGCCTATGCTTCCTTACTTGCAATCCTGATAGTCTTTTGACTGTACATATACAGCGATAACATATACACAGAAAACACTTCATCTGAATCTTAGCAAAAACTGAAGGTGTGAAGCCTTGTGCACCTTCAGGGCCTTCTCAAAATAGTATACTCAGAGTCCAGAAGGAAAGGGCTTTCTTGCTCGGCTCTTCCTATTTTACTCCTTTGAAAGAAATAAATAATTTACTCATTTTTTGATGTTGTTTTTAGTATTCTTTTTTAAATGAAAAGCAAGAACTTAACTTGTTTGGTGATTCTTTACTCTGGTTCCTCTGTAGGTCTCTACTTTTTTTTTCCTTTTTTAAAATTTAAATTAGAAACAAGCTTGTTTTACATCTCAATCCCAGTTCTCTCTCCCTCACTTCCTCCCCTTCCTTCCACAAACCCCCTCTCCCATCCTTTTACTGCTCCCCAGGGAGGTTGAGGCCTTTCATGGGGGTTCATCAAAGTCTGTCATATCATTTGGAGCATGACCTAGGCCTTCCCCCATGTGTCTAGGCTGAGAGAGTATCCATCTGTGGGGGAATGGGCTCCCATAGTCCATTCGTGCACTAGGGATAAATACTGATCCACTGCCAGAGACCCCATGGATTGTCCAGGCCTCCTAACTGACACCCATTTCATGGGGCCTGGGTCAGCCCTATGCTGGTTTCCCATCTATCAGTCTGGGGTCCATGAGCTCTCCCTTGTTCAGGTCAGCTGTTTCGGTGGGTTTCTCCAGCCTGGTCTTGACCCCTTTGCTCATCACTCCTCTCTTTCTGCAACTCGAAGGTCTCTGTTTTTTTAAACATCAAAGAATTATATTATTCAGTATTTTGTTCTTAAAAGCTAAAATAGCTACAACATGTCACAAGGTTCATATTTCACTTAGCATCTGGGGCAAGTAGTTTTCATTGTACTGACATATTTAGAAGTGCAGTAGCAGAATCCTTCTTGATCTTTTTACTACTGATGCCATCCCACAGTTTGGGTGTCAGCCCTAAAGACTCACCTATTTTTTTTTTAAACAAAAGTCATATTGATTTGCATAGTTTGTTATTAGTTTCATCTTTCCAAAGTATTTCAATGTAACTATGCCTGACCCTGACTCAATTGACTAAACAATGGTTTTGTAGAACTTTGTTCCCTTTTGCTATTTTCCAAACTGTACCATGAGGCAGCAGTCATAGATGTTTCAGCTCCTAGAACAGGCAGCTGGTACAAAGAGGAGCACCCAGAACCTGTGATATTGGGGGAGATCCATCTGTATCTTAGAATTGAAATCCGTCTTTGCTATATTTCATGCCACCAATCACACTGAATGATTTTGGAATATTACATTTTTGACAAAACGGCATTGATTTTAGCAGATACTGTTGAGCTGCATTAGTTATTTTCTCTACCCTGATTCTGTCGTTATCTTGATGAATTCTGAGAGGCATCTTGGACTGTTAGGCCACCAGTGAATTGACATCATTACTGTTTTGTTTTGAGTCAGCTCAGCCAGTGTGTTTTCGATGTGCGGGTTAGAAATGCTGTGAAGGCTCATGTCGTAGACATGCTGTGCTGCTTGTAGAGTCAGGATTCTCAAACCAAAGGTCTTAGAGGATGTTAGTGCTATAAGGATTCATAGATTGGGCCCTTAACTGCTGGGTGTATTGCTTGTGTTTAGAATCTGACAATGGTAAAAAATGAAACACTGTATTTTAAAGATAGATACCTAAAAGTGTGTGTGGCCCTTATACCTCTGCACCCTTTGATTCTGCCCTGCAGCAGTCTGAAGCTGAAATTGTATCTGAATAGATTTAATAACTTTAACCTGGATTTCAGTCTGAGATTTATGTTTATTCCAGAATTATTCTCTTGTTTTACCCATGCCAAGTTACATGGCTTTCGGCATGACATCTATATCTGCATCGCTAATCTTCATCAGTGAGTGGTAACAGAATCTGCTTATTGTCAGAGTTCATTGAAGACAGTATATATTTGTTTTTCCTAAGAAATTATAGGACCATGTAGACTTCAAAGCTTCCTTTTCGATCTCTATATTGTAGAAAATTGGAACATCATACCAGACAAAGCTTTACCCTCAGGCTAACTTAATGAAAGTTCCACTTATGTGACCTTTTCTGTTTTGTACTTAGTGAAGCAAAGACATGAGAAAAGAATTTTAATAAAAGTTCCAAGTCTTTCCCTGCCATCAAATTTGCACCTGCCTTTCCCACATCAGCCATGTCAGAAACAGCAGATCCTCAAAACCCTGAACTCAGAAAAGTACCTACAGCCTGCAGATTCGCACCTGTCCCTTTCATATACTAGCCGTGTTCTTCGCCTCTTGATAGCCACCGCAGTTGAGAGAATACCTAGATTTGATAACTTCAGGTCAGAGTGACATTGGTGAGAGCTTTTGAGATTGTGTCCATTTAACCAAACTCAAGTCACTGTGGGAAATTTGCTTTCTTATCTTTTTGGTCATTTTGATGCCTTCTTTGAAGAACATAATGGCTCCAGTCTCACTCCCAAGTTAGTTGTAAAAAGAGATGTTATCTAAACGCAAAGTACTATTCTGTTCAGTGAAATCCTTTTTTCCTTCGGTGAAATCTTTTATATCACCAAGTGAATCCATCTGTAAGCTACCTGTCTAAAATTGGGGAGAAAATGGCCAGCAGCAACTCCCTTTAAACAAGTGTCATAGAGTAGAGCTGACACTGCATGTCTCATTGTCATTTGAATGCATCTCATGTCTCATCCCACTTTCTATTTTTTCTTTTTAAAATCATCAGTATTTAAATCTCATTATTTTAACTATATCCAATTAAATGTACTTGCATAATCAGTATACTTTGTTACATGCATTAGTAAAGAGAGCACTTTTAGATGCTTTGCATACTGGCTTTCTCAACGTATTAAATTTGCATACCTTAAAATAGGTTTCATGTAGAAGTTTCAGAAAACACATGTGACAGGTATATAAATCAGATGCCATATGCTTTACTTGTTAAAATATGTTTGTAAAAGGTCTTTCCTCATGTCTTAATTTGGCTTCCTTCTTTAAATTATTTTTGTAGCACCCTTTCTGTAACCTAGATGTTTGTTCAAAGTGAAAATAAAATACCGGCAAGAGAAAATTTTCACATATGTATGTATTTGGAAGAATTCTTGTTCTGTAAAATGCTTCACAGTTTTTAAGCACTGAGTAGTTAATAATTGCTGTTCATCAGGGTATTAGGCAGTGTGATACGTGGGGCACCCATGAGCATGAGAGTCACTGCCATTTGTTAGTGGTGGTTCTGGCAGGGTGCTGAATCCTTTGAGCATGGCAGCCTCACCTGCACAGTGAGGACAAGATTAATACCTACTTATTGTGTAAGTGATTATGCTGTCAATATTGATTTATAACTTTTACATTACAGAGTACAGTGATGTTTAATACTTAAGTTACTCATCTGAAATATTTTAAAGTTGCCTATGAACTTTTCATGGCATTAGTCCCAGAAGAGAGAACTAAAATAGCTTTTCCTAACAAGCTTTCATCACTGTTGCCTCAGCGTTCTCAACTACAAAGAAAAGACTGGCATGGACTAAGAGAGAGGTGAGCTTTCCTACTTCAGTGTGGAAGCTGTTTGGCTACTCACTGGTAGCCATAGAGCTCATATTACAGTCTTGGTTCCAGCAGAGTCCATGTGACCAAACCAAGTGTGAGACCACAGATAGAGCGGTTCTGAGTGGACACTAGAGGTGACTTGACATTACGTGTGGTAGCAGAACTTTGATCTCTCCCCCTTTTTACTGCCCTTTACCTTCCCTCAGAAGAGTCCTTTAGGATGACAGCAAGTAAGGCTGTCTTTTTCTTTGGTCTACTTTCAGGAGATTGATTTTTTAATGCTGTGACACATAGCTTCATTTGTTTGTTTATGATTTGGAGATATATCTCTACTCATTTGCATCTCATTCTGTCTTACTGTATTTTATATTTATCCTGATAGTTAATCATTCAAATAAAAGGAATTTGAAACCGCTACAAAATAAAATGTTATAGGACTTATATATTCTTACTAATAAAATACATACATGTTTAATAATTTTGCTAATGGGACATTCTCATATATGTATGTTTTTCTCTGTAAGTATATACAGTAATATAGGATTCATTTGGCTTTTTTTAAGTTGGCACATATGACATATAAGGAAAATTTCTACTATGGGAAAATATAGCTTTAGAATTCTTGATTTTAAATTTCCATTAATTATGGGTATTTGAAAATAAATGTGTGTGTTCTTGTGTGTATGTGCACATGAGTGTAGGTACCCTGAAGGCCAGAGGCATCAGGTCTCCTGGAGCTGGAGTTTCAGGCAGATGGAAGTCATTGACATGGGTACTGACAATTGAACATGGGACCTCTGAAAGAGCAGTACCTATTCTTAGCTGATGTTGCATCTTTCCAGCTCCTAATAATGCTCATTCTGATGTATGGATTGAAATACTTTAGAATATTTAGCTGAATGCATCTTAGGGTAGTACTTAATGTAACTCACAGTGGTCATCTTTCTTCTGTACCTCCACAACCAGCTTGCCACCTTCAACCGGAACATGGAATATTTGAGGGCATGAACATACTGCATTCTGATGAGGTGCCCCATTCATAAAAGATACTGCTCGGATATTACAATAGATTGCAGCAGAGTTAGTTAGCCTTATCCGTAGCTATCAGTAGATGGTAGTCATATAGTTGTCATTTCTAAGTCTTTGAACTCCATTAGTTATTTTCAGTTTGTTGTGTTGTGTACTTTGGTGGGGGAGAAAAAGAAAGAATTATATTATGTTTCAAAGTTGGTGAGATGGTAATATTCACACTAAGAATTAAATTCACATAAATGAGTTTTAGAGCTAGATGAAAGAACATTTAAGATAATGTGGTATTGCTTTTTAAATGGGTCTATATTGCTTCTGTTACTTCAGAAATTATAATCTACTTTTCATTTTGAAATCTTACAAACATTTGGAAATGAACATGTTTGTATGTTTTAGATGAAGACAGGCTGCTGGTTCTCCACCAAATGGTTAAGATCCACAGGTATTGTTCAACCATTTTTTTTAAACTTGGGTAGTAAGACATAGCTAACTAAAAATGACATTGCCAATTTCGATTGCATTCAAAGTCTGTGTTTAATGTAACTGGATATCTATTTACTTTTAAAATAATTGGTATCTCAGTTTTACAAAGTTACAAAGTTTGATCTTGTGCAGTCCTGGCCTATCAGAATTTGCTGCGGTGTGAGTTCAATCCAAATGCCGTCAGTGGGCATCATAGACTTTTCTGGGGCTGATCCTAGTTAGCTCCCCTCCTCAGTTTACCACATTCCCCTTTCTTGCTAAAGTCAACTTGGTGCTGAATTCCTCACATGGCGTCATTTTGCTGACTCACGTTTTCATTCAACCTAGTTTTTTTTATTCCTTTACCTTTTAAAGCTTAGCTTTTCTCTAGGGGCAAGGCAGAATGTAGACTGTACTAGTTACTTTTGTGTTGCTTTGATGGAAACCCTGGCGGAAAGCAGAGAAAGGATTTAATTTGGCTCAGGGTTCAGAGACATAGTCGTCTATCCTGACAACAAAGGCATAGCAGCAGGAGCACAGCCCAGATTGACAGTTAGAAAACAGAGAGCAGGAGGAAGTGGGGCCAGAACTTTAATCTGAGAACTTGCCCCCAGTAACATACCTGTCCCAGTAAGCCCCCACCTCCCCAGACAGTGGTACCAACGGATGATGATCAAACAGGAGCCTATGGGGGAGTTCTCATTCAGACCACAACATTGATCCTCTGGGAGTATTCCCTGTGTCCTCCAGTTGTCCTAAGTTTCTGCTTCCTGAGTGTCCTCATAGTGGTAGACACGATTTCTTTGAAGGCAAGGATATAGCAGTTATTTCCATAGCACCAAGAAGAATTGTGTATGCAAGGTAAGTTCTTAATAATATTAGTTGTATTGTGAAATGTTTTGATGTACTATATGTTGCCACAAGTAGAAGTAAAAAACAGGAGAAAGGAATTAGATGGAAATAATTAGGGGTTTTGTTCAGCTTTCCTTTCTCAGTTCTTTGTTTCTGAGAAACTAATGAGTGGGTTGCAGTTCCTCCTTTCACTTGGCCTCCCATGTATCAAGCAAGTGTCTCCTAGTTCAGTGACATGATGACACCTCTATCAGATGAGGAAGGTTACATGTGGGTGAGGAGAAACAAATTTTCTCAAAAGGGACTTATAAGGCTGGACTGAAGCTGTTGAGTACCAAGTGTGACTGAGATGAAAACTGTTTGTAAGTCTGTAATAGAACTCCCCAAAGACTACTTTAATTAAAGCCAAGCAGTTTTCCCTGTTTATTGGAACACTTTGGTGATCTTACATTTTATATCTGTTTCATACTTAAAAGGCTATTACAATAAACGGTTCAAAACAATGACAATGAATTCTCAGTGTAGTTGGAGGTGGGTTGCATTTGTTAACACAAAATAGAAACAGCTGTTCTGTTTGGTATACATTCTTTTTTTTCCCCCTGAGGTTAAATACTATTGATTTATAATATGGAAAATAAAATATCTGAGCATTATTAAAAGCAGTACACTGTTATCGATATGTCACAGTACTTTCAAATAAATACACAAATAAGCCATATTTTAGACAGTGATGTGCTAATGTACTGTTTTTTAAATGTTTAGCAGCTCAATTTTCAATTATAGGGAATGCATAAATCTTAACCAATTCCCTATTTTTGAGTATAAAAAAAACTCTAAAGCCCCCAAAAGGCCCATGACATTGCTCTGGTTTCTTTTATTTTTCTTTACAATGTGTGTGTGTGTGTGTGTGTGTGTGTGTGTGTGTTGTGTGCACATATATGGGTGTGTACTTATGCCCATACATGTGGAGACTAGAACAAGAAATCAGATAATGTTCTCTGTCACCTTCAGTCTTGAGACTGTGTCTCCCTACCTGGAGGCCTGAAAGCTTAAAGCTGAAATGGTGATTTCAACTAAGCTATTGGCCAACACGCTCTTAGGATCCTTCTGTGGTTGCAGTGCTATGACCCCCAGTGCTCGGATGCATATACAACCATGCCAAAATTGGTTGTAGAGTAAGTACTTGTTAACACACTGAACCATCTCCTCAGCCCACATTCCTCAGGCTTCTTAGTTGCAATGCTAGGTCTAAAATCCCAGATTTCCTGACTCTTTGAGTCTCCTACCCACCCACATACACAGTGTTGGAGATTGAACTCAGGGCTTCATGCTAGCCAAGATTCCCCTGAGTGAGAATCTCCAAGAAGATTGCATGATAATCTTGGGCTCTGATGTATTTTTTTTTTTTTTTTTTTTTTTTTGGTTTTTCGAGACAGGGTTTCTCTGTATTGTTTTGGAGGCTGTCCTGGAACTCACTCTGTAGACCAGGCTGGCCTCGAACTCACAGAGATCCGCCTGCCTCTGATGTATTTTTAAGTGCATTTATTTCTGTAACTGCGGTGACCTGTTGGTTGCAAAGGGTTAATTCTGTTACTGCAATCCAGGTTTATTTATTCTCTCACTCCTGCCACTAAAAATCAACAGAAATAAATAGTATGAATCACAGCTAGCAAGGCAAAAGAAAGAAAAATAACTTCACAACTTTTTATGTGATCATTTACCTGAAGGACAAAACCATAGTCAAAGAAATGAAATACGCTGGTGTGCCTACCATCTGGAATCCACAGTGGACTCTCCTCTGTAGGAACACAGAGAAAGAAAGGCTTCCAAACAACTGTTATCATGGAAACTAGCAGTGCTAGCTAGCTATTGGCAACTCAAAACCCTCCCAGATGGCAGTCTGACTATGTATGTAACCTGAGGTCTGCACAGTTACCTGGCACTGAAAGGGACTTCACATCATCTCAGTGACTCCTCAGTGGGCTGTAGGATCCATCTTGAGAAGGGACCTGCTCTCTGAATTTGGATGGTTCTAGAAGGACTAGCCCACTGTGCTGCCTGAGTGGGAATGATGAACAAATGTCTTCTTCCTCTCCCTTCTCCCAGTCTTTAAGTCACAGCATCTCCCAGAGATGAAGCAGGAATGAATTGTGCATGAGCTACAAAATTCCTATGAGCTAAAGTGCTTATGAAACAGCAATGAAAACAGTTTAGGGTTGGAGTCACCAAAATGTGAAGAACTGATTAAAGCATCACATTAGGAAGGTTGAGAGCCACTAAGCTGGATCAAACAATCCAAAAGAATGAAGACTCAAGGAAATAAAATTTAGAGTTGAAAAAATAAGGTATTACAATGAATACCGTAGAATTATAATTTATTAACAGGAATAATTTTGAAAACTTGTATGTCAATAAATTGAAAAATACAGAGTAAAGGACAAGTTTCTATTGTATAATTTTAGCTTCTTTGTAAAAAATCATGTGTTCTTAGGTGTGTGGATTAGTGTCAGGGTCTTCAGTTTGATTCCATTGATCTAACTGTCTGTTTGTATGCCAATATCAAGCTGTTTTTATTAATACTGCTCTATAGGAGACCTTGAAGTCAAAGATGACGATGCCTCTGGAGGTTCCTCTGTTGTGCAGGGTTGTTTTGCCTATTCTTGTTTTTTTGTTTTTCATTATTAAATATTGCCCTTTCAAGGTCTGTAAAGAATTGTGTTGGGATTTTGATGGGGATTGCATTGAATCCATAGATAGCATTTGGTAAGATTGCCATTTTTACTGTATTAATTCTAACAATATATCCGTGAGCACTGAAAATCTTTCCATTTTCTGATCTCTTCTCTAATTTTTCTTTAGAGACTCAAAATTCTTGTCATATAGGTCCTTCAATTGTTAGAGTTATCCCAAAGTATTTTATACTATTTGTGGCTATTGTAAACGGTGTTGTTTCTCTGATTTCTTTGTCAGCCCATTTATCATGTGCATATAGTAGGGCTACTGATTTTTTGTTGTTGTTGTTGTTAATCTTGTATCCTGCCACATTACTGAAGTTGTTTGTCAGCTGTAGGAGTTCCCTGGTAGAACTTTTTTGACTCATTTATGTATACTATCATATCATCTGCAAATAGTGAAAATTTGACCTCTTCTTTTCCAGTTTATATCCACTTGATCTCCATTTGTCGCCTTACTGGTCTAGCTAGACCCTCAAGTACTTTATTGAATACATATGTAGAGGGTGGACAACCTTGTCTTGTCCTGAATTTTAGTAAAATTACTTAGCGTTTCTCTGCACTTTATTTGATGTTGACTGCTGGCTTGCTGTATATAGCCTTCATTATGTTTAGTTATGTTCTTTGTAGTCATGTTCTCTTCAGAACTTTATCATGAAGTGGTATTCGATTTTGTCAAAGGCTTTTTCAGCATCTACTGAGATGATCATGTGGGGTTTTTTTCTTTCAGTTTGTTTATATGGTGTATTACAATGAAAAATTTTCATGTGTGGGATGAAGTCTACTTCATCATAGTGGGTGGTTTTTTGATGTTTTCTTGGATTAAGTTTGCCAGTATTTTGTTGAGTATTTTTGCATCAGTTTTCATGAAGGAGATTGGTCTGCAGTTCTCTTTCTTTGTTCCATTTTTGGTTTGGATGTCAGGGTAAATGTGACCTCATAATAAGTATTTGGCAGTATTCCCTCCGTTTCTATTGTGAGGAACAGTTTGAGGAATATTGATATCAGCTCTTCTTTGAAATTCTGATAGAATTCTGTGCTGAAACCATCTGGCCCTGCGCTTTATTTTATTTATTTATTTTTATTTATTTGTTCATTCATTCATTTATTAGTTTTGGTTAGGAGACTTTTAATGACTGTTTCTATTTCTTTAGTGGTTATAGGTCTGTTTAAATTGTTTATCTGGCTTTGATTTAATTTTGGTATGTGGTACCTATTAAGAAAGTTGTCCATTTCTTTTAGGTTTTCCAATTTTATTTTTTGGAGTGCAGGTTTTTGAAGTATGACCTACTGATTTTTTATATTTCCCTTGAGTCTGTTGTTATGTCCCTTTTTTTAAATTCTATTTTTGTTAATTTGGATATTCTCTCTGCCTTTTGCTTAGTTTGGATAAGGG